ATACTTTAAACCCGGGATATAGATTATCAGTCTAATGCACATAGTGGTAGCCCAATCGAGTACTCACGGGAGCTGTTATATCTCATATACTCAATTACACCAATTTAAAACATGACTAGTCACTTGAACGGATATCCTCTTCAGGATCGTGCTCAAAAAGACATTCTCTTCAGAATCGTCTGTATTCGAGGAACTCGTACCCAGTTTCCTCGAGAATATCCTATTCAGGATCATCCTTAAAAAGACATTCTCTTCAGAATCGTCTGTACAAAGGTATCCTTTTCAGGATCGCTTGCAAAAGAGCCGTGTACTTAACATCCGACCATTATAAGCGCTTTACAAATAACTCATAAGCCGTGTACTCGACATCCGGTATTGAGAAAGGCCTAGATTTTCATGTTCATGAACAATAGGTGGACTATCCCTCGAACCTAAACACATATGTTTTATACCTCAATGAAAACTAGACTTGTTCTATCTATCACATCATCCAATACATCAGTAAAAATGACTTTATCCTCGAGTTCACTTTGTGCCTCGTTAATACAGGCCTATTCCTTCTGTAAGGTGGTTACCATCCATCTCCTTCTGATAGACACCGTTTTATTGCCTTAACCGTACGAGTATGGGAGCTTCTTGATCAGGCACCTCCTCGAACTAAGCGGCGGGAATTACACTCTCATCTAAAGTCTCGGTCTGCCAAATGTCACCTCAAGACTTGGGGGCTCCGAGATGAGTAATGGCTCCGGGGTAATTTATAACGATGAGTGCTTATATATGAGAGATTGTAAGGCGTCTGTAAGCTATGTAAGGTGTCTAGAAGATGTGTAAGGTGTTTCAGAGGTGTTTGGGAGGTTGTGGTTTTATTTTTTTGATGATTACTGGTCTACGAATCTCTTCCTAGGACTATTCTCGACGGTCCTCAGACTGGGGTATCGTTCCTTCTCACACTAATGCGTAATACCTCCTCGATTCTTGCTCGAATCTCAGGCAACGACATTATACATCTACTCGGGTTCGACACATTAATCTGATTTATACTTCTCAAACCCGGACTAAGGGTTCTATGCTTTATTTCTCGGGACATGAGAAATGGCAAGCGGGTCGGTTGGGCGGATATAAATAAGCTTAAATACTTGTGTGCCTTCTTCAAGGTCAGATGGTTACAACTCTTGAGTACTTTTTGGAGTTCTGCTCGAGAGAATCTTCTCGAATCTCTGGATTTCTTAATAGAAGGTCACATTGGGGCAAGTTCTTGGCAGACAGTGTTTCTTCTCAAACGTATGTCCTCGACATCGAGTGTCTATAGAATATTCTGTCTTTATTCATGGTGCTTCTCGATCCACTGCACAGTAGTTTTTCTTGAACGTTTGGATCTATTACCTTTCAGTCAGAAGCGTATGTCACAGTTCTCCAATAGACTTCTCATCTCGATAGTGGATATATCTTAGCCGCTGCTAATGGCGCGTATTTGAGACTAGTGGGAATTTCCGCTACGTTTCTTTCTCGACAACAGATTATCTCCGGCCAACTTCTTGGCATGCAGCTCCATCTTATATTTCTTCTCGAACTTGTGTCTTCGACGATAAATGTCGATAATCACAGTCTTATTAGATTTTATCTCTTGGTTCTCAACATAGTATTACCAGACATCTCCTTCTCGAGCTTATCTTCTCGAAGTCCTCGAGATTCATGTGTTTGACCTCATTTAGGCATATCTCTTGCCTCTATTCACGATGCAAATCAGATATCAATTCTCAATTATCATTCTCGAGATTTGGAGTTAATGCTTCCCGATTAGAAGCGTGCATTGTAGTTTTCGAGCAGATCCCTTGTTCTGTCAGCTGTTGACAACACATCATTATATCTAAAGTAGTGAGAATCTCCACTACACTCTTTCTATAATCCTCTCAAAGAGCGGGGTATTCACCTTGATATTTCTCTGGTGTAGATTGTGAAGATCATCACATGATACTTTCTCGATTAAAAGTCTGGACTAGTGATTTTATCTTCATCAGGCTTCACATTGATGTTAATCGTTAATAGTGACATGCACATCGAGAAAAGGTACGCACTAATGCTTTCATTGCTTTAGTTTCTCCTCGATACTAACTTGTCGCAGGTTCTCGATTCAAGTCAGTTCTTTCCGAACTTGGGGAATATACTTCATGTTAGCAAGCCTATCCTATCTTTAGACTTCGGAGTATAGGCTTGATAAGGGGCACTTGACGAGTCTAAATAGTACGACCCGCGACTAGGCCGGCCCAAGTTCGGTGAGCGGTTCAACCGGCCCCTGAAAGTTTATAGGTCGGTTTGTAATTACTTTCCTACAAAGAAAGGGTTTCATAACCTACCTCTATAAATAAGGATCAACCCCTCATATCAACAATACGGTCTATGCACCCTAACTTAATACTTCTCTTACAAATACTCTTACTAACTTAAACATCAGAGTGTCTACTTTCAGGAGATCCCGAGACCTTCTTTTGCAGGTTTTAGGGTTTCTATACCGCCATGGCCGCCAGTTCAATCAACTAGAGACGTCGATGCTAATCAATGCTTCGTCACTGGGGCAGGACTGCCGGTTTCATTTTCTTGTTGGTCCCTCTTTAACAATGATTCCCAGAATTCAATATTCGAACTTTTTTGTTTTCAGTAATGTCTATGAAAGTCATTCTTCATCATGTACCATGGATTTCTAGTTTTCATAATGATAAACAGAACATACATAATACATTGAAATTGAACCGTGCCCTTCTTATTTTCAGAGTTCTTGGCATGCAGATTAACCCTACGTTCATGCTCAATGTCACAAATGCTAGGTCTCATCCATCACCATACGTAAGTCCCAAATTTTGAACATCCTTAGCAGAACAAAAAGAATAAATACAACGTTTGTGATCCCACCCTTTAGACCTTTTTCTATAATGCACATCGGTTTTACGTTTCAGAATGCTGGAGGTAGATATGAATGTCAAGACGCAGGTAGGATTACAGTTCTTGCATGGTTGGCTTCACTACGACACGCAAATAGGAGTTAAGTTCTTACATGGTTGGATTGATTATGATACAACGGCAGGGAGACATTCATTTATCATAGATGCACAAGTAACATTTCTACTAAGACCGCCCGCATAGCAATACTACTAAGAGCAGTCCTTAATTAAAGAACCCCTTTTCCTTTTCCACCGAAAAAACCCCCTTTTTTCTGAGTCAATGATTGAGAAGATACATTACGGAGGAAAGCAGTATGAAATGGAATTGGAAAACAGCACATTGTTATTAGAGCAGTGGTCTATTGAATAAAGATTCACAAAATCTATTGAAATGGCAGCATCAAGCCAGAGATTCAGGCCAAAGTTGTGTTATGCAATGAACACAAGAAATCCCAAATATGACCAACTACATTGGCAGCTTAGTCTAACAAAATTAAGCTTATTTTCAGTGAACAAAATACAACAGTCTTCAACGACTAACAACTTCAGAATCTGTGATGCAGCTTCTCCTGTTCCTTGTAGTACTGGGCATATCTGCAAGGAAACCAATGACAGTAGTTCTTTGTTAGCTCAGCCTTGGAGAAAGCACATTCATACTATAACCAGAAACAAAAATGCAAATAATGCCTTCCAGCCTACAGGCTGATTTCCGCCCCCTCCCTTTGAAAAAGAAAACATAAAATAAACCTTGTGTGGATATAAGTGGAAATCACCATGGTTATCTGTTAAAGCGCCTTTCACATGGAGGTGCAAAGCAGGACATGGATACAAAAGAGCATAAAGTCATCAAGACATAAAAGTTTTAAAGTAGTTTTGGATGAAGGTTGCATACTCTCAGTAGCTTCCTCCATGACCTATCTAGTTGCACGTTAAACATGAAACAAATACATTCTCCTTGGCAGACACCTTAACAAATAATTCCCAGTTCACAAACAAGGACAACCTAGGTGGACACCTCACCCTAACTCCTAGATTTCCATGCAGTCGCACCTATAGACCAAGGATTTTACATCTATCATATTTGGAAAAGCCAGCCTAAACAGCAAAGTGACCCATACACTATTATTAAACGGTGGAGATACTACAAGAAGATCTAGATCAGATATTGCATAACTGTGCATCATCGTGAACAGCGAATAAGTGAAGCCTACAGCCCTACACTGGAGCAATAGAGTGAGCATTCCCTATATCTATCCAGCTCCAATTTCAGAGAAATAAGAAAAAAAGTAATTTTCTTTAATCTTCCAAACTCTAAGGAAACAAGATACTTGACTCTAGAATCATTTCGAAGAAGCAGCCAGTAGGCCCAGTACCAACTTTAACACAAAAATACTGTAGAAAAAAAGAGAGGTGGAACAGAATAAAAATGACCAGCAGTAGAACTCTTAATATCTTTACATTAGATTGAAACTCAATCCACAACCTACTGCAAATTATCAAAGAGCATCTAGAACATTCTGACTAATTTCTTCTGCAAATATGAATCCGGAAACAACAAAAAAAGTTAACCACTAGCTAACACTTGAATTTTCACACTGGCACTACATTAATTAGAACCTTTCAGACTCCAACCATACTAAATTCTGCACCTTCCCCCAATAAACTGGCACTAGAGCATCTAAAGGGAGTCAGCTCAGATAACACAACATTTCCAAATCCCAGTATATTAATTAAAGAGCCAAATCACCGGACTAGAACTGCAGCATCAGAGATGCGACCCTAAAGTTTGCTTCACCAAAAAAAACACAAGTCTTTATCCAGACCAAACCCAAATCACCAAGGAATAAGCAACCCACAACAAAACGAAGTTCCAAAAGCATTTCAATTCACTACTTTATTAAAAAAAATCAACGGAAATGAATTTCCAAACATTTAAAGAAAAAAAAAATCATTTAAAGTACCGGTCAAACACCCAACAAATCCAAACTCCTCGCATAAATTCCTTGCGAGCATCGAATCACAAACAAAAGGAAGACAAATCAATAAGAGATTGAGAAAGTGAAATTACGAGTAAGTGCCGACGACGGGTGCGACAAGGAGGGTGGCGCTGATCCAGTTCTCGGAGATCTTGTGGTGGATCTTACCGGTGATGTCTTTCCAGAGACCCGGCATCACCTTCTGTTGAAATGGAGAGAGTGCGTAAACCACCGCCTTCAACTTCACCGGTTGTTTCCCCATCTTCTTCTATCTATTTGGTCTCTCCTTTTCTCGATTCCCCTGTTCTTCTTCAAACTGCCAAATCGTAGGGCTATCAGGTTAGCTTCTGGATTCTTCTTATTTGCGTTTTGTGCTCTTTTACTGGGAAATGGCTTCAATAGGCCGCCGGGGACCAAATTGTTCTGGGTTGGGCTATTCTATTGCGGCCCATGTTTCCCGTTTTGGAGCGGCAAAGCCCGTATTACAATTCTTTTGGAGCGGCCCAGTTAACCAAACGGAATGTGTGTATTTCCAGCGCTATAGTTAAATCTTTTCCAGCACGCGAGACGGAAAAAGTTCTCCCTCCGTCCCATAATTATTGTCATGTTTGGATTTTCAATTCTAGTTCAAATTATATTAAAAGTGAAATTTCAAACTGAACAATCATTTTGGGACAAAGAGAGTATTACATTTGCTATATCATACTCCCTCCGTTTCAAACTGGACATTTGCTATATCGCAAGTATTTCAGGATTTAACATTATTGTTACATTAGTTGTCTAAAATTTCGATACCGAGTAGCAAAGAGTAAAAATAGTGATACCTGATCCCTGCCAATATGGGGTGAAATCTCTATTTGATACACAAACCAAGTTCACATTTACACTAATCCAAAAAAATTCCCACATGTACAAATTTTTCAATTTTAATAACAAATAAATTCAATACAATCAATCCTACAAAACCATCAGAAACAAGAAATAATATAGTCGACCAAACACAAATGAATGTTTTTTTTTTTGGGTTTTCTTTAATGGTCATATGTATAGAGTTGTCGTCATGCATTTTCCCAGTTCAAAGTTAACGCGAGCAGATTCCCAGGCAAAATCTGGTTTGTTACAGAGACCATAGTGATGAACTGCTGTATCATGGCATATACTGTAGCTGCAAGGTTTGCATGATGTTTCCAAAGCCTTTGAAGAAACCAGCAAGGTGAAGATTGGAACCTATGACCAACCAGTTTTCGCACGCTTCATCCCACTAGAACTGAAAGGAGATAGACTACCCCTTGGCTGAGGGCTCTCCTCTTTGAAACTATTGTTGAGCATGGCTAGTTCTCTGAGTTGTTGTCTCTTGTACAAGTCTTGTGATTCATCCTGCAATGAAGAGGAAGATTAATACAAACTGACAAAAATCTTGAAGTTGTATTTCAAAATGATGCACATAAACTGCAAACACTGTAATTCTATACATATGTATTGAGATTACTCTTCCTTTATCTTACACAACACAGTGATCCCAACACTCCCAAGTCCCAACGAGGACACCAAAGGAGGTAATGTGGGAAGGAGGGTGTTAGATGAAACCTCATATTTACTGCCTAGTCTAGTATTCATACTAGTTTGAACTTCCAAAAGCTGCTGGTATGTTTTTCAGTGACAAAGCTTATCCTACTATCTTGGATTGATTTATTGTGCTCTACAGAAACACATGCTTCACTTAAGTTTAAAACGCATCACGTACACTTTAAAAGTTTACTTCTAATCTTCATAGGAAAAGAATAAAAAAGGTGTAATTCTACCTCCTAATCAAAGGATAAGAAAAGTCAAGGAAAATTTAATCAGTGGAACCTTCAATAGCTAATAACAATAGATTTTAGGAACATGAAAAAATTACCACAGGCTTTAGTAGTTCCTCTATGATTTCTTTTGCTTGTTTCAACCGTGAATCAACAATGCTAATCGGTAATTCAGCCTCAATAAGAACATGTAGTGGTTCACTAAGATGTTCATAGCCTTGTCTACCTCTCAGACTGTCCTCCTGTAGAAAAAAAGTAGCTTAGCAACAATCAAATAAGTGAGATTAGCTGTCCCAAAATGCAAAAGAGCAGAATCAACATATCAAAGGGACAGTTTGACACAAATCCTGAGGAAATCATGGAATTGCAGCAGACTTCAGCGATCTTCAAATCCAGACTTTCCGCTATCTACTCGTAAAAGTTACCTTGTCCGGGTCCTTGATTGAACCTTTTCCTCTAATAAACACACGACATCCTGTTGAAGCTTCCACTCGCTTCAGCGAATTACCCCGTGGACCTAATAGCCTCCCCACAAAGTTGAACTGCAACCAAGGAACATCTAATTAAGTATAAAAAATTTACTTCAATAAACTCTGAAGAATAACAAATTGTTGAATTATAGAGGAAAAAGACTTTGAAAGCATACATTTGGAAATCTATCAACAGGTATGTCCAACCGCAATACCCTTTTCACAACATATTGATTTGGACTTCCACCCGATGATTGCCAGTCAACAGTCATCCCATCTGGCCCTCCCATCCACGGCTGCACATGGATTTTACAGTCAGAAATAGTAGAGGTATATAAGCATATAAGCATAAATAGTCCAAAAGTCATAGTGCATTCACAAAGAATTCATAAAGGGCACATAGGAATTCTAAGACTAGGCTCTACTTGCTTGTATAGATTCCAGCTACCACTTTGACATTAGGTCAGTTATTTTGGTATTTAGACATTGAAATTCAGCTACAATTTCAACATCAGGTCTAACTTTGATGTAATTTTTGTAGCGAAAATGAAAACTAAGATCACCTAACCACGTCAGGTACATAGTAGTGATCACCTAAACACGTCAGGTACATAGTAGTAGGGTCAACTCCCTGAACTATATTGTTCTGTATCACCCCTTCTTCCCTCCAAGAAATTCACGACTTATGAAACCACGGAAAATTTCGCCTCTCCATCACTCTATACTATTCCACTTCAATGTCATTTACAAGTAGTAATTGAAACGGAAATATTCACTAGGGCCAGCATAACATAATTGATGACTTATGAAACTCCCTGAACTATATTGTTCTGTATCACCCCTTCTTCCCTCCAAGAAATTCACGATTTATGAAACAACGGAAAATTTCGCCTCTCCATCACTCTATACTATTCCACTTCAATGTCATTTACAAGTAGTAATTGAAACAGAAATATTCACTAGGGCCAGCATAACATAATTGATGACATTCAAAAACACCATCATAATCATAATGTTGTTTGATTCATGAATCTTACACCAATAAGTATTTGCTTATACGCCATGAAAGACTGTTAAGAAATGAACATATAGATTCCAAATCCTAACGAACTCATTTTGGTTGAAATTTTTGCAAATATTAAGTGAGAAGAACAGCAAAGGATAACTCAGATGCCTGAAAAACCTGAATTTATTGGCTATGTAATATCAGCATAGATGAGCTTACCTCAAGCTGAGGACTATTTGGAAAGACTCCTAATCCTTTAGCTCCAGCATTCTGAATGAGGTCTAAAGTCGTCATATGGCTAGGGCTTCCACGTAGTAGTCTGTCATAGTCACCCATATTTTGGTCGGAGATCATTGCAGAGATTCTCAATATTTCTGCAAAGCAATACAACACAATTTGAACTTTAGAGTTTTGCTTATAAAAGTTGCAAGCTAGGCATGCAAAAAACATTATGAAGATTTTTCCAACAATGTTGAATTAGACAAACTTAAAAAACTTAATCACTTTATTCCAAAAAAAAAAAAAAAAATTAATCACGAATATGAGACCCTATGAAAGAGAACTAAGCCAAAAAAAACATAAATCTAAAGAACAGAGACAGTGATCTTCCCAACTTGAAGATGTTCCAGCACATTACAGCATTCAAGATGATACAATCATTTGTTTAAAGTTTACAAAGGAAGACCAAACCACCAAGATAGGTAGAATGAGAAGTAGCATTTCACAATAGCTACGACAGAAAACAGCAAAAGAACTCGAATCGTTTTTATCAGTGACCTACTCAGCACTTCCAGCCAATCACTAAAAACTGCCGGTGGAGTGTTTTACCAAGCAAGAAGCAAGGACTTTTCAAACTTGTGCAATGCTTTAAACAGGAAACTCCGAACAGCCGATGCCATGAATCCAAATTGAATCCACGACGCAGTAAAAAATTAGACTCAAAGCAGGATATCTTAGTCTATGGAACATAAGAATATACCATCCATGCAGATTCATCAGTGCAAAAGAGCAAGTATTTCAATTCAGCAAAGCAAAACAATCAAGGAGCAGAACTTAAAGATCCAAAAATCGATTGAAGAATCAAACCTTGATTCAATAATCGGCTGCATGTTGGAAGGACCTGCACGAAGGGCACAAGCTTTTGACGTTCTGCTAACAGCTCTGTCAAGTACTGACTACACAAAATTAAACAAACACCCACAAAAGATAAACACTTCAAAAACACTTTTCCAGATACTTAAAAAAAACAGCAACTTTTAGCAAAAGGGCTCCAAGAAAATACCTTAATTCAACATCTGTATTACTCCTAATAATCGGAGAACCAGACCTCGCAGGCGAAAAATTCAAATTCTGAGAGTATAAACCAGACATGACTTGCATGCTCAAAAAGGGTCTCCGCGGCTTGGTGGATTAATTTGATGATGAAGATGAAAAAAATGAAAACCAAAAGGGGGCACCACAAAAACCCACCTAGACAGAAATGAGAATCCCAAAGGGAGAAGAAAGAAAAGGGTTGAACTTGAACAGTCTGTTAAGTCGAGGAAAAAAAAAAAAATTGAAAAAAAATAAATATGGAGAGAAATAAATACGCCTCTTCCTCCCTAACCTAAAAATGGTGAAATACAACAGTACAACAACAGGTGAAGAAGTGCTGGTTTTTTGTTTTTGGTTTTTTTTTTTTTTTCTCTTTTAATTTTTGTATAAAGAAGATTCAGTGAGTTGGAGACTTAAATTGTTGTGGGGTACAAATGAGCACACGTTTCTTTCTTCTGGGCTCTCTCTTCCTCCTTCGGCCATGCCCATCTTTAACAACAACAAACAATCTCTTTGCTGTCAAAAAAAAAAAAAAGATTTACACTTTACACTTTTTAACACTTTACTGCTACTGTACAACATATTTTCCCACGATTTTACACATCAGATTTTACAGTTTCTGGGGGGAAATACCATGTTCATCATCATAAATTCAGGAAAGTTAAAAACTTGTGTTATAAAAATGTATACTTTATTATTATTGAGATTTGGTGGCTTCTAGATTTTGTAGGTTGGCTGGCTTCTTCTGCTGCGGCACACCCCCTGCATCTGCATGCTTCAGCCAGCTGCGTAGGTAGGGATCACCTGCAACACGCCAATGTTTATGTGTTCTTTCTCCTCCTTAATTCATCATCATCATTTTTTTTCTCTCTTTTTCGTTTTTTGTCATTTTCTGTTGTCACCTGTTCCCAATTATACGAGCCAAGAAAAAAAATCCCCAACCCTTTTGCTGAATTTGGATTGGTATTACTATTATTGGGTTTTTTTTTTGATATTTTCTCAAAATAATGTATCATTTTCAGGAGTCCAAATCAATAGGCAAAAGATCCTTTATTTTAAAGTTTGAAAATTTGTAATTAGTCGATGATGATTGATTACTGTGTATAAGAAGAATACGCATTTGTATTAAAAAAAATCCAATGCATTCTGGTCGCTGGGTAACGGCGTAACCGAATATTCGCATCAATACAATCAGACTGATTGAGGGAAAAATTGCCAGTTCATGAACAGTACCATTTATAATCATTGATTGATGTGTATTTCAGACATCTACACAACATGAACTTTATTTAAGAAGTTGGGATAAAAGTTTCCGATACCAAATAATAACAGAGCGTGTATTAATAAAATAAGTATTCTTACTGTACTAAAGTTATTATCTAATTTTAATTTTTAATTTAATTTGTATTAAAATTAAAATTTTAAATTAAATAATAATTTTAGAATGATGAGAGTATTTTTTTATTATTATTATTATTTCATCTATTCCGTTAAGGTTCGTGAGTCAAATGGTCAATGGAAGACTTGCAATTTAATACTACTACGTCCCAGTTCATATGGCAAATTCTTCATCATTGATGACACAATATTTATGTTCAAACGGAGATGCATTATTAATGATTTTGACTTTTACATCATTTGTGTTAACAAATTCAGTTTTTAGCGCTCGTTGAATAGTTTAAGTAGCAAACTAAATGACTATGGATGTTGTAGATATTTAATCTGAACCCGTAATTAAATTTGAAGAAACACTCTCACCCCCAACTCTTGGGTGTCATTGTAATAGTTTGTTTTTACTTATAAATTCTCTATTTGTTTCCAATCAATGTAATTTTTATTTTTTTATTTTTAAATGTAAGATTAGATTCCAATAATATGGGGGCAAGATAACTGGAACAAGCTGCAGTTATGTGTTTAACCTTTGCAAACAAATCATTTGAGTAGTTAATCTTTCAGTGAGATGTCGGCAAATAATATAAAGCTCCTGCAAGGTGTACCTAGACAGTACGTGTATCATAAATTTGGAAGAAAAAAGTGATCATTTTAGTCCTGATTTTTAGTTCCCACGCGCGCATTTAATCTCTATTTTTTTGGCATTTAATCCCCATAATTTTATCCTTTTTTTTGGTATTTAACTCCCTGATCTTATCTCTTTTTTTTGACACATGTTTAATTTTAAACCTTTTTTTTTTTGCTTATCATGTTAGCTTTTATATTATTTTATTATATGAGATAATTTTTTTATAACGATGGATTTTATTTTAGTAAAATTGACTATGGTTAATCATTGAGACTTATGAATATAAAGAATCAATATGTATTTTTTCAGTAATGAATAACCAACGTTTAGACAATGAATATTATTATACAATTATTGAAAGACGATTGATGTAGAATGTATTCGTTTTATTGGTGAATATACTTGCGTAAGGTAATACGCAATATATGGTTACTGATTAACAGGAATTTCATTGTTGTTTTTTGGCAGATGGTGTATCATCTTATTCAGATTTACGATGATTATCTTATTATAAGTAATGAATAACAAGTTGTTATTGATGAATAACAAGTTGTTATTGATGAATAACAGATGATGTACTTATTGGATGATGTTTCAACTCTGAGGAAAAGACTTTTGGTGCTTATGATATCAACGTTATGAACGTGATGAACAATGATGTTCTTATAGTAACAACGTTATGGACGAATAAATTTAAATTTTGTAATGAATACCTATATTTCACAAAAATGAATAACGATGCAAACCTGATGAATAATGATCTCGTCCTAAATGAATAACAATATTACAATGAAGAATAGTTGTAGTTTTACAAGATGAATAATTGTACTTTAATGAATAACTAAGCGAAAATAATGAATAACTAGAATACAAGATGAAAAAATATTTCACCAGAAGAAAAAAACATGACTAAAATAACCCAAAATTGATGATGAATAATGATATCGAGATGATGAATAACCGCCAGAAATAGATAATGATGTAAAAATCTGATTTCCAAAATCAACCACAAATCGATGAACAAGACTAGAACATCGATGAACCAACATGTTTTAACCATGAATAATGATATTACACTGATAAACAAAGCCCAGATCTATTAATTTTTTCCAAAATCAACCACAAATCGATGAACAAAACTAAGAAATTGATGAACTAACATCATTAATCGATGATGAATGATGAATAATATTTCACAGAAGAAGAAAACATGACTAAAAAAACTACACATTGATGATGAATAATGATACCGAGATGATGAATAATACCAGATCTGTTAATATTTTTTGAAATCAACCACAAATCGATGACAAAGACTAGAACATCGATGAACTAACATGATTTAAAGATGAATAATGACATTAAACTAATGAACAATATCTAGATCTATTAATCTTTTCTTCTTTACACAACAGATCTGAATCCATAAGCCTCCGGCGATTCACCAAATTTGAATTTTGTTCTTTTTCACAACAAATTTGAATCCATAAACCTTCAACGACTATCGAACGAGCTCGAACTGGCAAATCTGAAACAAAGATTTTAAAAATTCCAAACAAGATTTAGCGGACAAATTTATATTTTTAAGAGATAGATTTTGAAAACAACCACACAAAAGGGATGAATAACATGATGTTTTATCGTAATACTCAGCAACGTGATGCAAAATCCCAGTTTTGGCTGCACGAATTTGATTTCGTCTTCAAGAGTACTGTCGACGTAAGAATTTGGTATATCAAAATGATGCAAAATGAAAAATATCTAAGATTATGGTTGTAGATGGAATGGATGGAATGGTATTATAAATGGCGGATAATTAAGGTGAATAATCTGTTATGAAAATTTAAAAATCAAAAATCCCATAAAAAAGGGATAATAAATAGTAGTTTCAGAATTTTTGAGATTGTGGACGCGTGTGTTTCGCACTAGGTACACATTGTTAGGTGTACATAGGATCCCTATATTATAATTGGTGAGATGTCAAGTACAATTGCATTTTGCTCATATACAGATATCCGCGTATGAAATGGAGAAAGTAATAAGTAGGTTTAGATATGTGCACTAATACAAAAATTAGTTATCTTACACATATTTATTACTCACTCTGTCCCAAAATTATTGTCCAGTTTGAGATTTCACTTTTAGTACAAATTAAACTAGAAATGAAAACACAAACTGAACAATAATTATGGGACAGAAGGAGTACTTATAATTGTGAATTCAATTGACAGTTATAATCTGCTAAAAGTATATATTAAATGTGATCCTAGTCGAGAGAAATAGAGAGTTGATTCCGTCACTACTAAATGATATCAAGAAAAATGACATAATTTGTAAAGTGATCATCAACAAAGCTAAACCAAGAATACATGGAAGTGGACAAATTAAAATACCCACGGGATGTAGACTCTAGTATATATACTTTGGAATCTTAAAGAACAAAATTTGCATATGAAGAACCCAGCTGCTCTATTAGCCACTTTTTTCACAACCCCCACAAATGACAACAAACACATGAAAATACTTGCAATATGCACATGTCGACAAGAACATAATGTCGTGATGACTAGGAGCCATTAGAATCATCTCTTCCAACAACTATAGAAGAAGTAACGTATAGTTTCACATTTACACCAACAATAAAAATCTCTCATGAGTTATAGATGACCAAAAAAAAAAAAAAAAAGGAAGAAAAGCCATACATATAGTTGTCACGAGTGGTAACGAGTAACGACCCTCAATTTAGTGAATAGACGAGCTTGATTATGGACAACGTTCAAAATTTGGTATAAACATGGACCTCTGACTGAAATACTTGTTGAGAAAATTTTTATTTTTTTGTTAGAAATTTGTCTATATCGAACAGTGATTTTGAACATCACAAGTTACATACTGCGTATATAAAAAATAAAATGAAAATGTATATAAAGAATTCAGTATTCTTGCTCAACAACATAATTTGATTTGTCAATCCTACCTAAAATATTCGTTAATTAAACATTAAAAGTTCACAGCTTTCCTAATCAAATGATGCGTAACAGATGTTTTGACAAATTGATTTTAGCTTCGACATATATAATATGCCCTTGGTCCAAATGTAAGTTTATTACGTGACACAATACGACATATTCCCTTCTCAGACTGGCAGCATTTATTTTATGTTGTAAAAATAAATAAAAATCAGTGAGATGGTGGTAGTAGTAGCATATATGTGAAGGAAGAAGAGGGGGCAGCAGACAAAGCATAGGATTCCTTCTAAGATTGGGAAAATGAATACAGTTAGCATATCTCGGCCCGGAGACAACTATGCGTTGGATTGCAATAATTCTTTGGGTGTTTCCTCTTTGTGGTATTATGATCTATCTATATGTATAATGGAAGAACAAATTACAATACAAGATTGCAAGTAAATTTTGGTTTAACTTACAGTTAGTAATTCAAAATTATTTTACCGAATGAGTTCATTGTGTCTATCATTTCTTTCGGTCTCGTAAAATTGTTGTAGGTAAGTTTTGAAGCTAATGTTGGGGGAACCATCCAACCAACCTATATTGTAAGTCTTGCCAGAACATTTTTGTCCATCCTCTTCTCCTCTCTGTCACCACCCCCCTTTTTTTGGTCAAGTGACCTACAATGGACAAAAGTGGAGCTTAGTTTCTGTTGAGACTATTAAAGGTCCTTTATCAAGGACACATTCAATAATGGCCCGAGCTTGATAGCAAGTTTGATCCTGCCTCTGTGGTTAAGACATGGACGACGAGGCTCGGGCTCGACTGTCATGATTTTAGTGACAGAATAAGGATGTCTATTGTATAGGTCAAGTTAATATTTTCATAAATGCTATTCTTTCCGTCTCAGACTTAAAAAGAGCCCTATTTGTCGGGGATGGAAGGAGTACTGAAATGCAAACTTCATTCAACAAAGTTACTATCTCGTTTCACTAAAAGAACACTTCAGTACTTCAAGGCTTGCTTTTTCCAGTTTGAAGTTTGTGTTAAGAGTCCCTCTAAGAGTCAAGACTAATGATTCGTAAGTAAAAGAGATGGCAAAGTAGAACCAATAATAATGATTACTGAACATGTAATTTACGTAGTCAAACATTATTGTATGAGACCCTTCGTCTCATTTTCTGTCAGCCAAAAGAATTTTACGACAATGAACATACCTATGCAACTATCAAATGTCAATCAAACCAATCTTAAAAAAAAAACAACAACAAACTTAACCCCCCCAACAAATTTACTGTGTTGCCTCCTTTTTTTCACTCAACGAAATTGTGCAGACACGTGAAATATTCTTTACGAGCTTCATGAGCCAGAATGAATAAAAAGATAAATAAGGATGAATCCAGTTGCGAAGTTTATCTGCAGAGATCAATGTATTCCGTTCGCCAAATCAAAAGTTGAAAGGCAATGCTCCATATCAACTTATTCGATATTATTATCTGCATAAATGAGCCAAAAGAGATGAATCAGGCTCACAATTTGTCTACAAAAGCATTCCAAAAATGGCCAAAACTCCAAAGTGAACATAAAAGCAAGAATCAGGCTCCATATCAATCCAAATGCTCGAAAGGGTCCTTCCTTTGAGCAATTACTTAAACCAGGAAACCCATATTTAAAAGCCATAAGACAAATAATGAACCCATATATTTGGCTTTTGTACAGAATACCATGTGAGCATTATCACCAGTCCAATATTTACACCATAGAGATCAAGAAGTATTAAGCAGAAAGTGCATTCTTCTGTCTTGTTCCATAGCATATAGTAGATGGGAAGATATTTGAATGCAGTCTCAGTATGGCACAAGTACTTATACTTTCCTCACATTGCTCAACAGATCAATCATCACAAAGGTGCTAACATAGAGGACAACCAGGCATTCTCAAAATTTCAGTTGACATGATGAAGAATTTATATGTAATGCCCAGGCAAATTTTCTGACCAAAAAAAGGGTAAGAATCCACAAATAGTTAAGAGTTTGCAAGAAATCCCTCGTTAAGAAGCAATGCAATGTACACACTAAAGATCCAAATAAAGGCCTTTATTTTTTAGCAAAGATCCAAATGAACCAGAAAACACCTCAACCATCAAAATGTATAACAAAATATTGTAAAGGGGGTACTTTGCCATTCAACCACAACATCTAATGATTTTCCCCCAATTATACCACAAGTAGTTCGGAAGGAGATTTTGATATGATAAAATGCAATGGGTACCACCCAGTCAGATGCTAAACTTAGGTAGTTAGAAATTTTGACATGATAAAATGCAACAGGCAGGGACCACAAACTTAGATGCTAAACAACTCAGGATCATATGCCTTAAGTATGGTTTGGTATGCATTTGAAGATATGAGAGAAAAGTGATTCATCAGCACCTTCATGTCCTTTTCTAATTAGATTGATATAACTCTATAAGCCAAAGCGAGTTTGAGTAATAATTCTGGACCAAAGCATAAGCCTTTCATTCACTTCGATTAGGTGTATGAGTATCTGATTTGTGATGAAAGAATATGAGTATTAATTGACAAAAGTCATTTGCTTTCTATGCCAACAATAAAAAAAAGTGCAAAAAGTTAAAAAGTGTTAACTTCACATAAATTCTCCTTTTTCATTAGATGTGTCCAGCTCAAGCTTTGGACATTGTGACAGCATGTACAAACTCACATGTTACCATTGGACTGATCAAACATGGTCAAAAGGGGATAAATTAGCTCGCATGAAGACAGCAAAAGCCAGCAGGATGCTCATAAAAGAACATGGAGTGGGTGTATGCAACTTTGTCAAGTCCATAGGAAATCTTCAATAGATAACTCCTAGTGGTAAATATGCAAGTTCCTTACAACAAGCCAAGCTAAATGCTTCATTACAATTTCAAAACCCATGTTTTCTAACCAGTTCCCCCAATTCGTTCATCAGATCTCTATAGCATATGGAAGACAGATCACAGATGTAATGACAAATGAGAACTACTTGTATTTTAATTGCTTGATAGAACTTCCTGTCCCACAGTGCAAATGCCATCAAGTTAGTATATCTCAGATGCCAGCATACAGAGGCAAAGGTAGCTTTTGGACTTAATGATGTCGTTCTACGTTATCAAGGAAATCATTAAATTGATTTGGGATCTCAAATAATAAGAGAGAGATCCAGATTAAAAGAACAAAAAATTGATACGAATCAAAGATAACATCTTTGTCAAAAAAAAAAAAAAAAAAAACCAAGTCAACTCAAAGAAATGAAAATGAGATTTACCAGAAATGAATATAGTCAAGCAAAGTAGCAAACACCACTAGGGCATATAATCATCTTCCAATGATGGTTTAGTTCGAGTCTCTGATGCCACTGGTGCCTTTGTTCGCCCAACATTTGCCATTACCAAGGGCTCCCCTCTATCTGCTGCCTCCTCCATTCTGTGCAGGCTTCTTTTCCGTCTATATTTCCGAAGACAAGCAAAGAGTATACACAGTAGAACAACAAGCAAGACTCCTCCAACTACAGACCCAACAATTATCCACACTTTACGACTGTTTTTATGACCACCACCCCGATTGCCACCGCCTCCGCCGGCCGGAGAAGGTACCGGAGCAGGAGCAGGAGCAGGAACCGGAGCATTGAACTCAGCACCAATAGAGAAATGACCTTGTTTTGTACCAGAACAGACACTTTGGTTAATTACATTGTTAAATTCTACTGAACCATCTAAACCAAAATAAATACACTTGGGTGACACCCCTTGAGGACCAGCTGGAAGAACATTGGAAAACCGGACCAAAATGGGATCTTGGGAAGTTACCAAATCCAATGCCTGTAAATTCTTAGCTGACAAATTGGAAGCATCATAAGCCAAGAGACCCAGAATTGGGGTCAAGTATGTATAACCAGGTAAAGGGTAATACAAGGAAGACCAATTAGCCAAATTGTGATACACCAAAACAAGCCTCTCAACATAAGGATGCTCCACAACTCCAATTGGGATGTCAAACTCTTTATAGCCACTGAACCCTTTTCTTTTCAAGCTCCCACTCCTCAATCTCAATGCTGAAACCTTCACCCCTGTCAAGTTGGATGGTACAACACCATCATAAATTTCCCCTGTTCTGGGCCTAACCAATGCCCTAAAAGCATAGTCTTGAAGTAATGAATCAAGAGAAGTGGCTGATAATACTTGACCAGAAGGTTGAGCTGTAAGAACAGGGAGACAGTAGAAAACAATGTACAGATACCAAATGGGTAGCATCAGAGATTCAAGAACAAATCTAACAATGGAGCTCCCTTAAATGGCCTTTTCCTAGAAATAGCAATCTACCACCACATATGAAACTTGAAAAACCCAATTCAACCACAATGCCCATTACTTCTTCTGCTTCACCAAATCCACAGAACAAGCAGAACCATTTCTGGCACTCATGCAAAAGGGTCTCCAACAACCAGAGCAAATTGCATAAAAATGTAATCTTGAACTTTTTGAATTGAACCCAAAACAGAAGAATATAAAAATATCCTCAGTCAAAGAAGCAGAAATAGTAGAGTGGAGACAAAAATGACAGATCCCTCTCCAAGGCTTCCACCAAGCAATCAATGCCAGGAAAGATTAACAGGTGTAATAATTAGGGTTTATTGGAAAGTAGGTAAATCAATATGAGCTACACATTAATGGAAACCCGGAAAGGTGAAAAAAAAAAGCGAAGTGGGGAAGGAGCAGCAACAGCTAATAAGTAAGCAATAACACCACCACCATTCACACACAGTCACACAGTGAGTGATGAAGGAAGAATGAGAGAGATAGGTAACAGCTAAGCTGTGTGTGAACTGAAATCCCAAACAAAACCCAAAAATAAAATGAAATTAAAAATTTTAAAAAAAAAAATCAAAAGGGAAGAGCAAAAAAGAGTGGCAGTGTCCAGTGACCCAGTGTCCACTTACTACTCCTCTACTACCTTCACCGCTTTGAATGAATAGTAGTATTATTTCTTTTTTTACTTGGATCCTATTTCAGTATTTCTTCCTACCCACTTAGATTCAGACATGTCAGCAAGAGATTAGACCATGATGGCGGAAGTAGGGACCATTTTGCCATTTTTCCTTTTTATTATAAGCTTTTCTGTGTCCAGTGACAAGCTGGAAATCTGGAATGAATGAATGATGGAATCGCACTTTTTAAGTACTTTTTTTCTGAAGGAAAAAAGAAAAAGAAAAAAGAAAAACAAGAAGAAGAAGCAAATGGAATGGGGGGAAGAAGGAGCTTTGGTTTTGTGAAGGCTGAAGGAGAAGATATCAACCTTTCAAAATTCTTCCAATGGTCTTTTTTTGAAGTTAGCTATGGATAAAATTGGTTAAACTTGAATTTAAGAATTATTTATTGGAAAATCCGAAATTGGGAATCTCAAATTTTTAAAGAGAGATTTGGAGAAGCTATGAGTACATGGAGTAGTATGAGATTTTTGAAAATTAATGATCTCTTTATTGGCTTTAAATTTTAATAAATCAGACAACAAGAACCTTCGTTAACCAGAAGAAATGTGTAGGATAACCAAAATCCATATCCAATTTTGGCAATTATGTGAGAGACTGAGACCGTGACTTTCTTCATTCGTTTTCCATCTTATATATATGATATAATAGTCTCATCCAAGAAAATTAAAATTCTTAAAATTTGAGTACTTGAGCTATATTTTTAGAATGATGAAATGGTGATAGGATATTTCGCTCTGATTTTTATTTTTTTTTTATTTTATAGCAAAATGTAAAATGATACAAATCTCATCAATCTAACTTATGGAATTTTATATTAGCATCAATGGTATCGTTAAATTTCTTGTTTCGGATTTTTTATGTTTGGTCACGTTATTCATGGAAAAACTCATTTCACTATTTTTTTTTGTTTTTTGGAGAAATATTTTACTTTGTTAAAAGTGAAACTATGAGGACGAAATCGTAAAGTTTGAGGGAAACTTTTTAATTACCCCCATCGCATAATTATGGTAAGTTCGTGCCTTTCGTTTTCTGGGACTTTTACCTTTTCTTCTAATCAAAAGAGAGAAAAACGGTATTTAAGGAAATGTTTTGGGCTAGGGCACCCTATATAAATCTTTCAATTTCTGGGTATTTAATTTCATAGTTATGTTCACCGTAGCTGTTGTTGTAAACCCAGATAAAAAAAAAAAAAAAAAAAAACACAAAAAGGTCAGTTTCTTTCCTCTTTAATTTCTTTCTATTGCATTAATCTCTAAGTAATTTGCAGGTGCCTCAATTTTCACGGTTCTTGATTGCTAATTTGAAGTAGTGAATTATGGTTTTTGCTTCGATAACCTAAGCTCGTAAGATTTATGTGATTCGATTTTCGTTTAATTTAATTCCGGGTGTCACGTGAAATTATTCTTCAGAAGAGGGAAAAAGTGATTAAATCATGAAGTTAAAGAAAATCATAGGCGGCTTGAAGAGCTTTGTGAAGAAATTCAGCAAAAAGCCGAAACCTGAGAAGAAAGTAGAATATCATCACACGGTAAAATCAGTTTTAGTTACAAACTATTTATTAGTTATTTTATCCCCGTCTTCAATCTTTTTTTTTTAATTTTTTTATTTTCCTTGGCCATATGTTTGATTAATTCATGCAAATCAATTAATTAATTTCAACTCTTGATTGTTCTTCAGCATCTCATCGTGAGGTTGGACGTCACACAACCTAAGTGGTCGAAGGTTTATTCAGCTCTACAAGGATGTGCCAAAGACGGTAATCATTAATTATTAATTATGAGAATTTTCGTTGACCGAATTAAGTTTTGAATTTCGTATTGAATCAATAAAAATTTGAAAATTTGATGTGATAATTTTTTTTTAATTTTTAAGAACGGAAGAAATATAGAACAAAGATATAAATGTGAGACGAATTATTGACGACGATAAAGCCTTCTTTTATAATGACAGTAAGGCAGTGTAGATTAGAAGAAGGAGGGCTAATGCATGTGTCGGGGCAAATGAATCAGGAACTGCTGGTGAAGAAGCTCGACAAACACCGGAAGAAACTACAGATGATTCGGTTAGAGGCCGGCAAGTGTTCCACTATTTTATTCGGTCCAAAATGATTTAAAACCTCGTACTTTAGAACTGTGCAGGGATGATTTTTTCTTTTTTAAAAAAATTTGTTATTTAATTATCCCGTTTCATTTTGTTCTGCTTTTGCCGATTCTGGTGAGTTCCTCTACTCCACCGGCTCTTTGCCGGATTCCATCTTATGCGCTTTAACTTTAAAAAGATAGGAGCAGAGTCCGTTATGGTTGGCTTTCTCCCTTTTTATTAGTCATTATTCTTCTTCTTTATTTTTTTTTTTTGTCCTTTTTTATAATGTACTTTCAAAAAAGCTCTTAATACTGTTAAATTAGAACAAGAGAAGAGGGGGAAAAAAAAAGAAAAGAAAAAAAGAAAAAAAAAGAAAAAAAAATTGCAGAGATCAAGCAGGACCTTATATGTCCTTTTCCACAATCTTTTCTTCTTTACATTTGAGATGAGACTGATAGATTTGTCCTCTGGCTCACCTTCCTCTCATGATCAAAAGTAATAAACCCATTTCGCCTTTGGATGCATCTCTAAATGCGCTCTTCAAGTTGCAAGACACCAGACTATACTGGACCACTTTCACCAAATGGTACTTGCCTTAGATAAGAGGACACTGTGACTAAATATGCTCACCGACTCCCCACCTCTCTTCCCTCTCCCGGGGAGCAAACTTGTGTTGCATTGCAGAAAGAATTACATGTCACAATGGTATGACTGTCAAGCATCAATTAGGAATGCAAATGATGGAAGAGATTCCAAAATCAACTCGTAGACACGATGCACTTAGCACACAGACGCCGGAAATGCAAATCATTGTATCAAGTATAAAAACAGGATAACACAGATGAAGAAAATTGGAAACCATATCAGTATAAAAACAGGATACATTCTTCAACAACGGCGCCAGTGTAAACCACAGCAACGTTTTCTGAAATCACTTCCAAGCTTGAATATTTCCCCTTTTCCCTAGGCTTTCTAACATTGAGAACAAGCCAATGCACATATAATTTTTCAATAAATAACTACAAATTGCCAACATAAGAGCCCCAAATGGGTGGTTGACAGTTATAACTCATATGATACAGATCCAAACCTGTGTGAAATGTAGCTATCAACCAAATGGCATTACAGTCTGTCCAGATTTCCTGGCACATGAATTTAGGAGATAAGAGTGGTGAGAGATTCAAAAGATCTCTTTCTGGGCTATGAGGACTGCGATGGGGGCGATGTATCCCGGGTCATTTGTGAACTTGCACCATATGGAGCCACTGGAGATGGGGGAGAAAAGGAGACTGAAGCCGGGGATCCACCCAAGGATTGCAGGTTAGAAGATGAAGGTATCTTGAAAGGGTAAACTTCAGTGACCTCTTCGGTACCTTCATCAAGGTAGATAACATCCTGCATGGTAAGCTGGTGGTATTCAACGATTTCCCTCAGAAAACGGTTCTCCCGTGCAAACACTGAATTCTCTTGAGCAAGCCGAGCTTTCTCAGCTAGAAGAGACTCAAGTTGAAGCCTTATCTGTTACCAACAATAGCCTCATCAGAGTACATACATTGTAAATATAATCAACACCATTAATGTCTATTTTCTATCCCAATCCAGACATTAAAAGCGAGTAATTAAAGAAAACAAATATAGTCAGCTACAGAGGCTTCTTTCATCTAGTAATATGTTTGAATACAAGTGGTACGATATTGCCCCAAATAAAAGAAAAGTCTCATTTGGATCATTGAGGTAAAGGATACAATAGTCAGGTATTCATTTGTGCCAAGGGAGAAAAGGTTACATCTGAAATGGAAAAAAGGTTTAGCGCATACCAAATCATCATCTTCTGAGTGATCTCCTTTATCACGACTTTCTCTAAGGACTTTATTTTCTTCTTCGAGCTGAGCACAACGCTCCTTGGCAAAAGCCAAATCCGCTTTGACAGTCTTCAGCTCCCGTAAAAGTAACTTTGCCTTTGCGGCCATTGCCATAGCAACCTGCAATTCCATGAAAAAAAAAATTGCATATCAAGCACTAAATTTCATGAGGACAAAAAAAGCACACCAACCATTTCGTGTATGATCTAAAAACTCATGACTAAAATTTAGAGTACAATTGATTTAAGATACTAAATCAGTGAAGCAGAATGGTTGAGTTCTATAACCAGTGTTACACAGTTGGCACCTTACGTCGCGAGAGGCCTTCAATTGAATTTCTAAGTCAGCCTGCATCTGGGGCTGCACATTTGTTTGCGCCCTAGGTTGTTGCGAAAAATTGCCAGCAGTTGAGTTCTGGATCTGTGGGACAGAACCATTTCCCTTTTTCCTTATTTGTAATTTGCGTGTTTCTTGAATAATGTCCGCTGTGCGGTTCTCCACAACTGAAAGGCCCTCCTGTGAAGAGGCAGTCAACATTTGAGAATCATGAGAATATATCAATGTTCACCCTCAGGTCTGCCTCCCAGCCAAAATAGTATTGTACCTCAAAATCATTTCCACTTAGCATTTAAATCTGCAACATATGCCTTCATCAATTTATTTAATTACTCAAAGGACTACTGCTTGCCAATTTTTTCCCAAATTAATAAGGTTGCTAACTTAATAATTACCTCCTGGTTAACCGGAAAAAACTCAACCTAATCAACAAGATTGATAAGGCTGCTAACTTAGTAATCATCTCCTAAAAGCCATGTAAACTCAAACCAATCAGTACAGAAGTGGAGGTATAGAGCCTCAATTGGTTACAAGAAAAGACAAAGAAGTAAAAGAAGTACTTGAAGCAGCACAATCAACAACAAAAGGCCTAAGTCCAAAACTATTCGGGGAATATATAGCAACGATTTTGCATGCTGTCACACTCCCAAATGTAACAAAATTGTTGGCTCCCGCACAATTTATACGGATCATCATGCAGAAGAGAAGACACAAAATAAACAATTGTAACCCTAGTAAGAGTGACTATTATAAAATTATCACCAAAGATAATACTGAATAGCCAACAAGAAGCAAACTTCAGTATAATTAGGAAAAACAAAGCATGTTAATCAAGATTAAGATTACTTACTTCTAAAGCATTCCCAATTGTTCCACTGATGTAATTAAACGAAGAAGCCAGAGCACCTAATCCCTTCTGTAACTTAGGGTTATCTCTCTTCGGGCGACTTTCTGGGGTTGGGTAGGCCATATCATACTGCAAATGCATGAAGAAAGACTTAATACAAGAAATGAACAATAACTACAATGCCATATTAATCATGCCATCTGCAACAAAGTTTATAGTACGTGTGTGATTGAGGTTCAAAGATTTGGCAATCTCATCTTGAATAGTAAAAGACCAATATTAGAGTTTCATTGGTGAATTTTATTCGTGTTTCAAAAATTTCAGTTTGTTCACCTGACCCCTTGATGCTCTACCAGAGCTGTATGTGTTACTTCTTCCTGGCGATTCAGGCTGTTGAGTATCATCATCATCTATAATCGCTTTAGCTTTCCTAGCAAGTACATTCCAAAATCCTTGTTTTGATTCATTCGAACTCTTCATTGTATAATCATGGCTGGAAAACCCCTGCAAAAAATCATTCCATAAGTCATGCGCAGACTAACTACGAGCCAGAAAACAACTAACCTCTCCATTTTCATTTCGTCAGCATAAGGAATTCTGACCTCAAGCCAAAATGGTTCGTGAACTATGATGTAACTTAGAATACAGGTCAAAATTTCAAACTACCACACCAAAATCTAACTAGCAATGATAAATTACCTGCCACAGTACAAAAGAACCTGTTCTCTTTGTAGAGCCAAAAATTCCAGAATGTTTAAATCAAAAGCACCCAGATTAAGTCCTCATTTTTATGCAGCAAGAGAAGGCCAAGTTACTTATTCCTTACACTTCGACAGAAGCGTCATTTATCTAGCTGACGCAGCTATTTTCCAGCAAAACCACGAATATAAGAAAAAAGAAGGCGGCAGTTCCACTAAAACTACAACGAGGGATAAAAGATTTCTTTTTTTAATATGCTGAGCTAGATGAAACCATACATCACAATCACGAATAAGTATGAATGCACCGAAGTTTCAACCAAAATGAAAGCGGGAGAGATTACCTTGCCAGATGAAGAAGCAGAGGAAGATCGAAGGGAATTGGAATCGCCACGCGGAGAGGAAAGGGCAGACTGACCATATGCAGATGAGAGAGAGGAGTCACGATGAGCAGAGGAGGCTCTAATGGCTTTGGCAGCGAGGGAAGATGCAGACGGAGATGAAGCGCCGCCGCCGCCTTGATCGACGTCGTCCGGCAGCGGAGGAGGCGGTGGCGGCTGCGGATTGTAGGGACTCCCGAATTCTTCATAGGTAGAACCCTTACCTCCAACTAGCTGCCGCCTCCTATACGCCATCAATCAATTACCAATTCGCTCCTCCTCACAACAGCTCCGCCGTCAACCCCTTGATCCCCACCGACACCTTCGTCACCCCCAATCTGAACTGGCGGAATTCCGAGAAACCCAGTTCCCCTTTTTCTTCAACCCAAAAAAATGTTCTATAAAGCTCGTTTTCTTCCTCCTCTCTCCTTTATTTGTTTTTATTTTTAATTTTTGTCTGAAAACGAAAAGAAAAGGGGAAGAATCCGTCAACGGGGAACCTGATCTTGTTTATTATGAGATTCGGAACTTCTCCCGGAGATCCGATTCCTTCATGTTTGAAATGAAAAAAAAATTGCTATGTTGCAATGAAATGAAATGCTGGGCTACGGTGATGAAATGTAAGTCTCACGGCCCAGTATGAATTTCAAACAATTTGTAGGCTGAAGTGCTGAATAAATGGGTCTGAATTTCTGTATTTGGGCCCTTCAATGTCTCTACAGTTTGATGTGGTATCGTAATGGACTGGAGATTGGCCCAATGGTAGAAAATGGACGGATCATCTGTTTCTTAACTCGGTTCAGCATGTCAGATGTCATTGATGGAAGAAGTAATGGTATCAACTAACACTTGTTGTACCAAAAGTGATTTAAATAGTTTGTCAACTTTAAGAAAAGTGAACTTAAGTGGTTGTGCTGAGGTGAAAAGTACTCATTCACCCTTAACCATAGTTTGAGGGTTCAAATCTCGCCATAGGTATAGAGCATTCTTAAATACTTTAGTCATCTTCATACATATTTCGTCAATAAGATAAGCGTCAACTTCGTATTATTATGTACTGTCTAGATTAATAATTATCTATTTCGAATATTTCATCAATAAGATAAGCGTCAATTCATATTATTATGTACTGTCTAGATTAATAATTATATATTTCGAATATTTCGTCAATAAGATAAGCGTCAACCTCATATTATTATGTACTGTCTAGATTAATAATTATCTATTTTGAATAGTCAAATTGTTTATATCACATGAATGTGTTTTGATTTATAGGTATCTTTCATTTGTGTGCACCGATTTACATGTTTAATAATAATGATGTTATGAAATTGAAAAGGATAAAACCAGAAAATGAAAAAGAGCGTGACGCCGTGACCTAAACTTGGGAATTTTAGCTATTAATAACCAATCAAACGTCTTAGAGAAACTTCCAAGTTAGAGAGCAAAGGAAGATTATTGGCTTCTTGCTACACATATGCATGCCACTCGGGAATCAATGAGAAAATGGATATGGAAGAATTTGAGTGCACAAATTTGGTGAAATTTTGTTCTTTTGTATGACTGAGGAATAATAATTCTTTCATAAACTATCTTTCCTTAGGTTGTCCTCTTTTAGGGTTCCGACAAGGGTTCATGCTCATTTCACGCTATGTGTCTATATTATATTATAACCTAATTCGACCTTGCTGATGAATGTACATTGAATCTGTATTTCATAGACGACACAATTTGCTGTGTACGATAATCTTTGGATGAGAATCTACTTAAATAACTTTAGATACCATTTCTTCTACCAACTTAATTAATTAGTCCATTAATTAAATATTAACCCTCCTGTTAAATTAATTCCATGGAGTTTCTGAGTATGCAGCAGCTAGCAGCAGATGTCAATTCCCAGGTATTCAGGAAATGAAGTTGAATCATTGAATATCATTGTCAGGTTGAATTGGAATGTGGGAGATTTCTTGTTCTCTATAACTAATTTTGTCACTAAGATGATAACAGCAATGATACATCCATATGACTGAGTACAGTGAAAATATATAATGACAATTGAAAAGATAAATATATCATCCACTTGTTAAATATGTCTCTTTATTAATTAAGGGTAAAAATGTAATTAATAAAAAAGTAGCAAAAAAATAAGAACCGTGATTATTTCATATCCGTCACTATTTTTATTCACTAAGAGTATCATTTTCCAAGATGATAATTCTTATTTGAAAATTTCACTTCATTAAATTAAATTAAGATAAAACCATGGGCAGAGTACAACATTGTCCATTTTTTCTCCCATTCAGTGATTTTTAGGCTACGGCCTCCTTCAATGTAAAAGAAATAAATAAATGAAACCATGGGTTCATGGTTGAATTTCTTACATCTCATCAATCAACAAAGATGGTGACGTCTGAAGAGAGGAATGAAAAATAAGTTAAATTTGGAACAGAGCTGGTATCTCCACAACACTACCAACACGGAAATTTGATCGATAGTATCCTCTTTTATCAAATAGTTGTCACGACCGAAAATGCACCGTAATAGATAAAGTAAATATGTCAAAATACTAGACAATTTTCCCAGTTACTCCTCCCGTCCCATAATTATTGTCCAGTTTGAGTTTTCATTTGTAGTTCAAATTATACTAAAAGTGAAATTTCAAACTGGACAATAATTTTAAGACAGAGGGAGTAATTGCCTTGATCTCCTGGACTTTTGGAATTCATATTTTATTTTGGTTAAAATCACCAAAGCGAGTTAATAAAAAATAATTATATATTTATTACAGTTCCGTTACGATGTAATAAAATGTCCGACATGAAAAGAAGTTTAATAAAACGAGACTGAATAAGTGTCGATCTACTTTCTTTTGTTAGCGCATCTCATCATTCACCCTCCTAAATCATCTGTATTATCATTTTTCATCTATGTCAAAATTAAAAGATTGAGATATAATTAACCAATCAAGTGGCCTAGTCTCTAAATGCAGGTGTTGACATACATATTCGTCCTCGTCCTAGGCTCTATGACTTTTTAGGGCTGGCCTGAAAACCTAGTTCTATTTCTACTGGCTAGCTAGGGAACATAACACATCACCCATGCATCATCAGCTCTAGCTATATATATCTATGATCCAATATATTCCAATTCACTGAGAGTCATAAGTTCTCACACAGATGGTTCTCTCCATTGGCGCAGCTTTCTTAATCAGACTCTACGAAACAACTAGGTTTATCGATATATAACAGTTCACATATCAATTCATAATACTAGCTACTAATACCAACTTAGGAAGATATTAGGGTCGTGACTAATGAATGTATATTTTGCGTCATATAGACTTTTTTTTTTTTTGGGAAGCAAATATAGACTGGTTTTTAATCGCTCTTTCTTTCTTTCTTTTTTTTTTTTGTGCGCGCGTGTGTGTGTTTTTGAACTCTTTTCTTTTGATTAATTGTTCTATTTTATTCCAAAGGGGCGTGATCCATAATCAATTAGGAAGTATTATTGCAAAGAATTATTCTGATCTACTATTACTTTCCAGATTAAAAAAATAGCTGCACTAAAAAAAATAATAGAATAAATTTTTTGAAACAAAAAAAAAAAGGAGCAAAGTGTATACTGTAACAATTCATATATTTATAAATTTGCTGGTTTTCTGGAAAAGAAAATGCTAGACATTTCTTGAGTCGAATGCGTGCCATTATCACATCTAGTGATCCTAACAAGAATCTAAAGGACTAGACCTTTTAGCATTTTAAATCTTATTATTGCGATTAATTCTGAAAGGGATTGGTGCCATTAACTGCGAGTCTACCGCATCATCAAGATTCTACTAGCATTATTATCGTGCATGTATTGAAATTTTTTGATTAACTGGAAAATTAAACCGACGACAAGAAATATATTAGAGTCTTCCTTTCAACTTTGTGACCAAAATTCACAAGACATCAAATTTGGCGACTAATGAAAATTTGCTTTCCTTCTTAGGGGCCGGGTTCCGGTAAATTACTATGAACATTTCTAATCAAGTTAGGGGGTATACTTGTAGCACGTTATTGGACACATATAATGACCCTTTAAGTTTGTGAATGATTCAATATGAGAATAAAACACATATAAATTAAGTAAAGTCTAATGGTTAGGGTGTAGATCCCGTGTTTTTTAAAAGTATTAAGGAGTTTTTACCACATTTAAAAGGGTTCACTGGGCTGAATTAAAATAAAAAAAACTTACAATTTGTTTACCGTCTTATAGATAAATTTATGTCTATTTACCACTAAAATGGTGAGTATACTATATCACGAATCTGACTGTTGAACATGTCATTCATATTTTAATGAACCCTTCCCCCACGGTGAATACGTCTATGGATACAAACAGACAAAAAAAAATCCATGGATCTCTAAACATATAGTCAATTTTCACTTTGATGAGGTGGAATCTCACTTGGAATTTTTTTTAAAGGCATCTGTAACTTTTATTAGTTAGAGATAGATGAATAGTTACATAGCAATCTTATTATACGCTAAATTATGTAATTTATGAACATCGTAAACTAATAACTTTAGCCAGTTCGGAAGATGAGAGAAAAGTTATGTAGTTAATAAAGAAACTATTTCTTGCACTTCTGGGGGATTACTTACTCTTAAGGTCATACTTGGGATTCATTCTTGAGAACGATAGTAGTTCAAACATAAAAAAAATTCCTAAAAATTTGACCAATAGGAAACATGACCTAAAAAAGCCATATAAATCAACCAAATGGAAAACTTTAAGAAAGTTAATTTGAGAATTTACCGCAGTCAATTACAATAGTGTGAGTTTGAGTCGTTCGAGATCAGTCCACCTCCTTATAAATTCGGACTTTCATAACCTTCATGAAACATCACCAGTACACTAGAGTTTCCTTCTTTCTCCTGTAGTAGTGGTTAATTGTTTCATTCTGTCAGGAAAAAAAAAAAGAACAAAAAACCTGAAAAGGGTTAGCCTTAGCCCCCCACACCAGATTTGCCCAGATAGATATTGTAAGATGTTGTCTATCACAGTGACTGACCACACACACACACACAGTCACACAGTGAGTGAGAGTACTCAAAAGAGCAATATAATGGTCAAACCAAAAACAACAACCAAAACCCCACCACCACACCACATGTTTTGTTTCTTTTCTTAGTATACACAGCTAAAGCAGGGAGATGTAAGTTTAATGGGGTGGGAGAAAAACAATGAATGAAGCTGCTGTTTTCCCTTCCTTCCTCAGCTCCCGACTTTTTCAGTTTTAATTAACTTGTTTTTATCTACATCATCTATGTGTATAAATTCCCCCAAAAAAAAATAAATAAAAATCATCCTGTTAATTTCCAACAGCTAGCTAGCTAGCTATATTTAACCCTCTGGAAAAAGAAAAGCACAGAAAGAAAAGGGAAGGAAAGAGTGTTCTCAGTGGCCAAGTCCCACCCTCCACTCTTGATCCAAAATCCTGTTTATAACATCTCTTTTGGCAGATTTGCTGAGATCTTCATTTTTCACTCTTTTTTGTTCTGACTAACATGAGGAAAATGACATTTCCCTTCTTCTTCAACACCAGCATCATTATCTTCCGTGATTTCTGCTTTCCTAATTGTTATTTTCTCACGTTTTCAATTCTTTTTTTCTCCTTTTTAGTAAACTATTTTTTCTTCCCCTCTTAAGTATATATGATGCAATAATGCATTACTCCTTCCTTTTCTTTTTCGTTTTTTTTTTGTTTTTTGGGTGTTGAGTTCCTCTAGTTTACACATGCTTCTTCTCCAAACAAGGAAAGGAAGCACATGGGTTGCATGATTAGGGTTCTAAATCAGGTCGATGCATCGAATTTTAAGGGAAAACTCGCCAAAAAGAAAGGTGGGTATTGATTTTATTTTTCTGCTAATAATAATGATCAAGTAGAGAAAAGAAGGTGGTCTCAACTTGTTTACTTGTCTGCACTAGTCCCTTTGTCGGCTTTTCGGTGCTTATGAAGGTATAAATGAGCACATTTGAGCTGATTCTCTATTCTAGTGTTGGTTGTTGGTCATCATTTAGAGATGAAAGATTCTGTGTGATCATCTTCCAAGGTTTTTTTTTTCCGGTTTGTCTGCTTTTCTTTTTAGGTTCTTTTATTATGTTTTTGCATGTTTGTTTCTTCCATCTGGAAGATTTTTGATGGGTTGGGTTATTTTCCTCTATGCAGCTTTGACCTTTTCCTATGCATCCTCTTACTCACTTGTCGTATTGGGGTTGTATCCTAGGGTTAGGGTTCATTGTTTAATATATGAGATGCTTCCGCAATGGGGTTATCATACCATAACTTTCACACACTTCTGAACTTCTTCATAGTTCCAACCTAATAATTAAGAGCCAAAAGGAAATTTGGTGGGGTACTTGTGATGTTTGGCCTCTTTTCTTTACAGATAAGTTTTAGATTCTTATGTCGGATGATTTTTTAGAGGCAGTAATATCAGCAGCAGCGGGCAAGTGGTAGTCACTAATCAGTCAAGGTATAGCCTCAACCTGATATTCTCTCATTAATATCTACTTGTTGATATGGAATCCATCCAGCAGTTTTTTTTTGTTACTTTTAGTGATGATGTTATTTGGAATCTTTGGATCAGGCACTTTTCTTAGAGTGATGTGACAATTCCTTGGGCTTTATATCTTACACATCTGAGATGCATAAATCACAAATCTTTACCACATTACTGAAACCATGCATGAATTAAAGGGGGTGGAGGGTTGGAGATTGTAGTTGCAAGTTATTGGGTTCAAATCTCTGTAAATGCTTGAAAAATAGAACATTAAAACTACATACGAAACACAATTATGGTCGTCTAATGAGTTACCCAAATCATGTATGCCACAGTGATCACCTGAACAGTTGAAATCAAGAAGATATATGTGGAATTAGGTGGAATTATTATGGGTAGAGAAGAATTATTTCAAAGATGGTTAGTGAATTTCTAACAAAAAGTTAACGAAACTACAAGCTACCCAA